CCGTGGGTGCTGGCCGAGAACTTCTCTCGCTGTGCAGCCGAGGGTCCCCGCAGGTACCCAGTCCGGGCCTGCTTCTAGGCATCTACCTGTGCCTCCAGGGACCCCCTTCCCACGCCACAAGTGGCCTGCATCCCTCTCTTCCCAGCTCAGGATCCAGAATGCCAATATCCCCCTACCGACCCCCATCCCCCGCGATCCCTGGGCCACCAGAGGCCCCAGGCCGAACGCTCTGCATTTGGTCTTTAAAAAGAGGAAAGCAATCACCTATTCGTGCAAACCAAACTAAATCATAGTCTCTCCTGCCCTCCACGCCCCAAACCGCTTATCTCTCTCCGCTGGCAGCTTCCCCGGAAGCCCTCCCACTCACTCTGTTTTTAGGTTCTCACCAGCTTTCCCCTTCTTCCACCCCACCAGCTACTTTAGGAATTTTGGTCTCCCTCCCCACGATCCTTCTCCCCCCTCCTCCCCACCCCCAGGAGGCCTGGCTGGAGAATGAAATCAGGCGCCGGAGGGACAGGACTAGCTGTCTGAGCTCAGCGCCAGGCAGCTCTCCAGTCCGGACACCATCAGGTTCCCTAACTGGGCTTTCTTTTTGATTTTCTTCTGCTGCTTCTTCTTCTTCTCTCTCTGTCCCTCCCTGTTTTGTTTTTGTTTTTGTGTACAAGCCTCAAACACAACAACACACTCCACAGCTTCTCCACAATCACCACGGTTGGATCCGGGGAAAGTTTGAGGTGCTCCCACCTGAGACACACACATGGCAATTTCCTCCACCGAAATCCACACACCCATAAAACACAAGTAATAGAATCAATATTGCACAGACACCAACACGCTGTGACCTACCGCGTTAAAAACCACAAAACTGTCTCCCTGCAGAGCGACGCTCCCTCCTGCGGGAGTGGCGACAGACCTGGGCATTCTCAGGCTGGCTTCCTGGGGGGAGGGGGTCTCCCTCGATGTTGGTGCCTCCACCCACAGCCCTTGAATTTCAAAAATGTCTCCGTAAGGGAGATAATGAGCATTTCTCTGTGAATTGTTCTTTCTGTGTCCCTCTAGCCGCCGCCTCCTCGCCCTCGCGGGCCTCTGCGGACATTCCAGGCCCTCCAGAGACCAGAACGTCCCTCGGCACCACCTCCCCTTGTGCCAATGCCGCCGGGAAACCGCCGATACCCATGCCGGGCAAGAGAACTGCGCGGGGGGCAACTGGGGGAGGCCGGAACAAGGGGGGGGTGGTGGGAGGGGGAGGGGGCGCGCACCCACAGAGGCCATAGCGACAGGCTTCTAGGGCGCCCTGGAGCCCAGACGCCCCCATCGTCTCCTTTGCAGCCCCCTCGCTTGAGCCTCTCTTCCCAGCTTAAAAAGGCGACTTAGAGCTCGCCTCCGTGGTCCCTTTTCGGTTCCTCCTCCCGTCTTCCCTGCCTTGGCTCCCCCTCCAGGAAGCAGCCACCCCTCTCTCTCCGGCCACCGAATTTCCTGGGAAGCCTCTCCCTGAAGTGCCCAGAGGTGGGGTTCAGCCCCCGTCTTGGAGAGAGGGGGGGGAGACAGAGACAAACCCAAGCCCCACCCCCTACAAAATCGATGCAAAAGAATAAGAAGAGAATTGTAGAATCTCCCTTACCTTTGTAGACCTTGGGATTTCTCTCCTCCGACTGATAGGGGTGAGGAGGAAGGAGGGGGGAAAAGCGTTCTGTTTCTTCTTCATCTTCCAGATAATATTGTCCCAACCTGAGAGCCGTCGCTTCTCCTTCTCCGACTTGGGAGAGAGGGTGTTTCGCTTTTCTGACATTTGCATAGAAAATGGAGTAAGTTCTGGCTTTGAAAAATGGTATCAGGCTGCAGTCCTGGGCAGATTGTCCATTTACCCTCCATGATGACTAAAATCCCAGATCAGCAAGCAAATCAACTTAGAAATTAAAATTATTTTTGGTTCTCTCTTTTGTGTAATTCCCACCCCTCCTTCCCTCTCTCTCTCTCTCTCTCTCTCTTCTTCTTTCCTCTCCCTCTCTCTTCCTCTCTCTCTTTTTCTTTATCGAGTGATACTGAAGTATAAAAATATCAAGAGGCTGGAGCCCTGAAGGACGACAGTGCTCCGACCTAGGTGTGGTGTCCAAAAGAATGCTGCATTATAACCACCAGGGAAATGATAAAAAGTTCATGTTCACGATCGCCCGGCCACATGACCGGCGCCGGCCAATCGCTGGATTCAACCACTCATAAACTTCTATCACAAAGTTGTAAATTTTCATAAAACAACAAGGAATTTATTGCATTTCTTCATGGCTGCTCCACCAGCAACCCTTTTCTCAGTCGCCATCTTCTTTTCTTCTCCTTCTCGCTATTTGGGGAAACCCCAGTATGAGAAGGGGTGAGATTTGGGGTGCAGGGAATCAGGCAGAGGAGCCACAAGGGTCCATCTGGGAAGGGGATTCTTTCCAGAACCTCCCTATTCTCACAGGAGCTCTGCCCCCTCTTCTAGTAAGAATTCACCCCAAATCCTCCACACAGGGGCCATTCTAAGATAGTTTTGGGGTGAGTCGGGAGCAGCGGCAGGGATCCAGAATTGCCACTTGCATCAGGGCAAAATGAAAGCTTCAGTGCCCCCTCTCCCCTTCTGAATGCCCCCCTCATTCCCAGCCCTCTAGATGGCAAGACCCCCACCTGTGAGGCTTGTGGCATTGCGGGTGTGGGGGCCCTAGATCCCCCAGGGCCTAGTTTTTGCCCGGGGAAGAAAGGTAGTCCTGATAGAGGCCAAGGCAGACAGTCTAGCAGCCAGATTCTCGCCTCTGCACCCCAGAAATTAGAAGAGGATGAAGCCGGATCCCTGCCTTTCGCGCCCAAATGCCTGCACACCCAGGTTCCCAATGACAGCTCTGTGTGCTCTCAGGGGGTTCTGCGGTCATTAATGGGGGAAACTGCAGGTCCAGGGGACTTTTACTTACAAATTCAAATTAAACAGATCCTCCTAAAATGCGCTTCCCTTCCAAACTGCTTCCCCCCCCCCTCTGTCCCCATACCTGTTCTTTACATTTAAAGGATCCAAGGCTTATAATCGAATAAATTCTAAACCTCAGCTCCACAGGTCTAGATGCCTAGGCGCCGTCTTCCAGGTTTACGTTCCTCAATCAAGGGGTGTTTTGGAGGAAAACAAACAAACAAACAAACAAACACCACCAACAGCCAACAAAATCCACCCCGTGTTTCCCAGGTCCCCTGAAATACTCTTGTATTTTGAATTGAGCTACCAGCGCCCAGATGCAGGAAACGAAATTACATCCCCCCACACATGTTTTTTTTCTCTTTTTTCTCTTTCTCTCTACTCCGGAGAAGATTCCAGGTTGCCGGCCGCGCGGACCGCGGGTAGCAAGGCGCGGAGGAAGCCGGCGGAGCTGCGGCGGGAGGCGCGGCCGGCTCGGAGCGGCCCGGCTGCGGCCACACTAGCCGGGTAAACTTGCCCCGCTCAGGTTCTCGTTCTCAGGGCTCATTCCCCACCATTTTAAAGTATTATTCGGATCGCTGTGTTAATTTAGATGAGAGAAATTAAAATGCACGAAAGCAAAAGAAGTGGAAATAAAAGAACCGAACGGGTCTTGCGGAAAATGTGTGCCTAGTGAGCGGAGCGCCCTGGCTTTGGAGGCCGCCTTGGGCCGGCCGTGCGTCTCTGGTCGCCGGCCCGGCTTCTGCTCAACGCCGCCCAGGAAGCGGGAGGGGATCTGGGGGCGGGGGGGGGGGGGGGGGGGGTCACCTTCCCTTCCCTTCCCCTCTTCCTTCCTATGGGGCCTAACACTTTGGATTTCAGCTCTGCGTTTGGGCCCCAGCCTGGTCTGAAGGCCCAGACGAGGAAGAGTTCGCGTAACTGTGGGCGTTTTGTTTTGCGAACGTGTGCGACTGGGCGTGCGGGCTCGTGGATGTGCTTCCTTGGGGGGCGAATGTGAATCCGTGTTTATAAGCGAGCGTGTGAATGTACGTTGGTATGCATAAATGTTTCTGTGAGTGAGTGTGAATGTTTGTTTACTCGTGAGTGTGTGTGAACGTGAATGCGTGCGTTCCCCGGGTCGAGTTGGGGATGTGTGGATGCCTGTATGTTTATTTATAAACGTACGAGGAGTAGGGGTGTTTATTGGCGACTGTGTGTGGCGATGTATATATTTCTGTATGTGTGATGTCAGCCTGTGAATGTGTGTCACCCGTGCATTTGTGTATGTCAGAGTGTGTAAGGGGGCTGTGTGTGTGATATCAGGGTTCGCTGGCTAGTAGCCCCCAGAGCAAGGAGGAGGAAAGAGAGCCGACCCCAAGCACAGAAAGAAACGACTAGCAGCAGAAGTTGAAGCCAAGAGGCTCTGGGATGCATAACCCTGACCCTCTCTGTCCCCCACCCCTGGTTCTGGGGAAACACAGAAAATAAGGCATCTGTTCATTTTTAAATTGTGTTTTATTTCTCCATCCTTCAGGTACACATACAAGGTAAAGAGGATCACGGGGGCTCATGGGAACAAGGAGCATCGGGCAGGCCAGGTGCACAGAGGGGACACTTGAGCTAGTCGGTGGGGCCATGGGGCTCCCTAAGGCCCCTTCAGTGCCGCTACTGGGAAGTCAGGGGGGCTCAGGAGGACGGAAACCACACACTGTAAGTCCAGACCCACAGACCACAAAGACAGCGTCAAAGAAAGGGGTTTACAAAACAGCAAGATTTTACAAAGACCTTACAATAGCGACATAGAAAAGGGGCGGCAAATCCCAGAAAGCTACAGAACAGGTAGATGATGTCCTCATATCGTACAAAACAAACCCGACGGACGTTTCTATAGGTAGTATTTTTTTTTCAGTGTTAAGAAACCAAAATTTCACCTTCTCTCCTTAAAAACTTTTCAACTGCTTTCCACTATTTAAATAGTTTTCCCCCCTCCCGATTTAATTTGAGTTTCCTGGATCAGTTCTCAGAGCTGGGCTTCACCTCTCTCCCTGTCTCAGCTCTCTTCCTCTGCCCTTCCTCCCGGCTCTCACTCTTCCTCGTCCTCCTCCACCTCGGCCTTGTCCTGGCCTGTGACCCCAGGACCCGCCGTCTTGTTCTCCTTTTTCCATTTCATGCGCCGGTTCTGGAACCAGATCTTGATCTGTCTTTCGGTGAGGCAGAGCGCGTGCGCGATCTCGATGCGCCTCCGGCGGGTCAGGTAGCGATTGTAGTGAAACTCCTTCTCCAGTTCCAGGGTCTGGTAGCGGGTGTAGGTCTGGCGCCCTCGCTTTCGGTCAGTCCCTGCACATAATATTTAAAGGAGAATAATCAGTGCATGTAGGAGAAGCCACGAGAAGTGGTTGGGAGAGCCCATTTCTCCACGAAGCCAGACTCTTATTTTCCATACCCCCAGCGTGTGCAGGCTTTTCTACAGGCCTCCTGAGGCAAACATCCCCACTTTCCACCCAGAAAGTCCTCCAGCCTCAGGCTTCTGGATGAAAGATTTAGCCTGCTGGTTCTTGTGGGATGAAGGAAGGTTAATCCTCCCATCACCCCTGGGACCAAGGACCCCAAGCCTCCCTTTTGGGATAGTGACTCTGATGTCTTTAGGGCAATGGGGCAATGGAAACCATAGAAGTGACCCTGGAGTGGGGCTCTAGGCCTGACCTGAGTGCTTTTCCCAAAAAGAAAAGGAAACAAAGGAGCCTTATAGACCCAGTCTCCCTCTCTCTCTCTCTCTCTCTCTCTCTCATACACACACACACACACACACACACACACACACACACACAGCCTGTTGTGGTATGAGGCAGAGGTGAGAATTTGCAGATTTCCTTGGAGCTCAGAGTTGGCCTGAGAGCAGTTGCCCTCTGATGACCATTTTCCAGTGAGTGGCTGAGGTTCAGACTGTCCTGCCTGCCCACCTGCCCAGACGACCCAGTTCTCCAAATCAATATTTGGGCCTCCAGGAAGGAAGGCACAGGGGAGACAGCAGCCTGGTTTGGGGTGGAACATGGAATATCAGGGTGGTGGGGGCTGAAGGCCAGAGGAGAGCTTTCCAGGTTAGGCCAAAACCCTGAGGAGCCTTGGGAGAGGCTGCACTGGGGGTGGTGCCGATGCCAGCCCTCCTGGGAAGTAGACGTGGGAGGAGGGACTAGGGGCCCTAATTTCAAGTCAGATAAAAGCCAACGTGAAATGTTTACGAGCAGAAAAACTTGGGCTTTGATAAATCAACTGGAAAGGCAGTTGAATTATGGAGCAGGTAATGGGGACAGTGACCGCCAATACGGATGGTGTAGGAGCTGGGCTGCTTCTGGCTGGATTAGGAGCCTCTGACCACAAGTCTTGGGCCTTCTGAACCTTGGGGTTGGGCCCTGAGACCAGGAAAGCATTAAGAAAGATGTCTGGTTTCGGGCTAGTCAGGAGACTCTACTCTCTTGGGGCTCCTGCAGTAGCCTCTTCAGTGGCCTGCACTCTCTAACATCTGATTTGGCTCCATGGAGACCCTCTCCTAAGAGGACATTCACCCTTCTGGAATGACACCTGCAAACTTGCTGGCCACTTCTCCAGAGGCACTTAGGAACCCTAGGAGGGGGCACCTGAGGAAGCCAGCTGTACTCCTATGAGGCTGCTCACCCTTTCTCTAGCTCTGCTTCCCCCTTCCCAAGTTCACTGGGGGGTCAGGAGCCTCGTCTCTCTTGGTCTCAGCCCCCCTGTCTCCACCTGCCTCTCTGGCTCTGTGTCCCTGGCTGGATCTTCATCTCTTCTCATACCCCCTCCTCCCGCCAAGCCTCTAGAGCCCACCTCTAATTGTCCAGAAGGGAATAATGGGGGAGCGGGGTTGGCTGGGAAGGAAGGGGGAGGGGAGAATTGCTGAGCGCTGCGGCCCCCCTCCCCCAGACCTCCAAGCTGGGGCTGGGGGACACACCCAGAGCTGAGATCCCCGGCGGGGGAAGGGAGAAGGGAGGGGGGGAGACCCTAATGGCTATTCTCTGCAAACCCCAGCCTTCCTCCACAAGACAAACGGCCTCGTCTCCAGCCCGTGCCGGCGCGGCTGATAAATATTTAAAGCTAAAAGGCCGGGAGGAAAGGTGGGGGGCGGGCGGGGGCTCGGAGCGCCACGGCGTCGGCGGAGAGAGATCCGCCAAGGGAGCAGAACGAGCCTGAGAGCACCGATCAAAAAATGGGGGTGGGGGCGGCGCGCCGGGCTGCGGCCAAGGGGCTGCCGCGTCCCCCCCACGGCCGACCTCCTACCGGAGCATTCTGGACGCGGAAAGGGGCACTCGGCCAGGAAGGGGGCGCCTTCCGGGGAATGTGCCCAGGCCACTGCGGCTCGGGATGGCTCGGTGCGCGGCGTTACCTGAGCTTCGCATCCAGGGGTAGATCCGGAAGTTACTCTCGGCCGCCAAGTCCGAGTCCCTCTGCTCCTTGGCGCCCGCCGCCTTGGCGGAGTCGCCGGGACACACCCCGGAGAGGTTCTGCTCAAAGGGCGCGCAGTGCATGTTGAAGGAACTCGGCTCGAGCCCGTAGCCGGCCGCGTAGACGCCGGCTGCACTCTGGCCCGCCATGCCCCCCCCGCCGGGGTACAAGCCCTGCATCGAGGCGGCGAAGGAAGCGCCCGAACCCGCTCCATAGCCCGGGCGCTGGGGGTTGGAAGCAAACGCGCAAGAAGTTTGTTCAGGGAAGGCTCCGGTAGCGAAAACCGAACTTGCGGCTGGATATTTAGAAAATAAAGCATTCGCATAATACAATGAACTCATAATTTGGCCGGATGATTTGTAGGCAGGGACGTTTTAGTGTCGGTTTTACGAGATTCCTTGATATATTACAGAATTAGAGTCCAGATTTACACCAAAAAGGACCCCCTTTTTCCTCTCCGGACCACGTGACCCCGCCCACGTGACGTGCCCTCCGCCAATGGCCGGGCGGCCTCCCCACGGCTCCCGGTAATGTGGAAAAAATTGTGTGGCGTTGGATTTATAAAATATGATCAATAATGAATGGGAAAGCCAAGCTCTGTGGATTGGGGCTGGGGGCTCAAGGGCCGCTGCCGACCCCCTTGGGCTGGAGGCAGCTTGCAGGCGAGATTTGGGGAGGAAGGGATTGAGTAGAAGGGAAAATAAATAACCTCGGAGCGATCCGTGTTGTCACCCCCCCCCCATACACCCACCTCCCCAGCCGGTTACCCAGCGAGAAACAAATGCAGGGACTGCCCGCAACTGGGTGGGTGGGTGGGGGCAGGGCAGGTCTTTATTAATCTGGGCCAATTCAGCCTGG